TCTTATAATATAATAAGATTTATAAAATTATATTATAATATAAGAATATTATATTTAATTATAACTTATATCTAATTTATATTTATAAATTATAATTAAATCTAATAAATATAGGGAAAGAAGATATAAACTTTCCTAAGTTAGGAGGTTCTAAAGACTATATTATATACTCTATTTAGATAAAATTATATCTAATTAAAGAAAAATTAGATTTATATATTAAATCTAAATTTAATTCTAAGTCTAAAAAAGTATTAGCCTATATAAAGCTTAAACTATAAAATAGCCTACTTATTTAAATAAGGTATATAAATAATACTAAAGAATTATAGGAAGTTTTAAAAGGACTATATAATACCCCTAGTTTTACTAGTAATTTTATATTAGTTAAAAGTTTATTTAACTTAAACTTAAATAAATTTTCTTTTATAAAATAATATTTAAATAAGATTAAGGAAATATATACTAAATTATAATTAAGAAGTATTAATATAGATAAAATGGTTATTATAGCCTAGACTTTATTTATTATTAAAGATATAAATAAAAGTTTTAAAGGATTTATATTTAATATAAATTAGGCTTTAAGAAATAACCCTCTTTTATATACTATAAATACTCTTACTTCTAGCCTTATAGATAAGGCTAAAAGACTTAAATATTTTAATAATTATAATTCTAAAATTATAAATATTATTAAAAAACCCTAAAAAAAGACTAAGAAAAGCTTAAAGTATAATTACTATAAGCTTAAGAATTATAATAAGGAAAATTATTATTTCCTTTATCTATATAAAGCTCCTTATAGCTATAAAAATAAGGTTATTAAAGACTTTAATAAACCTAAAGGTTATAATAAGTTCAAAGTAATTAGATTTAAAGACTATAATAAGTCTAAGAAACCCTATATTAAGGAAAAAGAAGAAAAGGTTATAGTTATTAATAGTAAATATAATTCTAATAGTTCTTCTATATATTTCTTTAGAAATAAGTTAAATAAATCTAATTTAAATATTAATTTAGATTATAAAAATATTAATTTAGATATTAAAAATTCTATAGTATTTACTACTATAGCCCTATATATTAATAATAATAAGAAAAATATTAACTATATTTTTAATAATATAGGAAGAATAAAATAGGATTCTTTATTTACTAATTATATTTATAATTTAGGAAAAAGAGTTAATAAGGTTTATAATAATAATAATATTATTTTTAATAATAATAATAATAATACTATTCCTTTTATATTTAATATAGATACTACTAAGTATATTATTTCTAATAAAAAATATCTAGTTAATTATAAAGAAATAAATTATAAGGTTAGTTAAGGTAAGGCTATATTTATTATTATTAAAGGCTAAAGTAACTTAATATTTAATTTTATAAATAATAAAAAATAATTTATATTAAGAAATTATTACTATATACTTAAACCTAGTTTTAATATAATTAGCTAGTCTTATTCTAAGAATCTAATATCTTTATTTATAGATAATAATTTTTATCTATATAATAGAAATAATATAGAATTTTTAGCTTAGAGAGAATAGTCTAAAAGTCTATATATATTAAATCTAGAATTTTCTAAAGATAATAATAATAATATTATATTTATTTATAATAATAATAATTATAATAAAGATTCTTATAATAAGTATAATAATAATTTATATAAATAGTATTTAAGACTAGTATATTAAAATTATAAAGATTTATTAAGAAGACTTAATAGGTCTAAATTAGCTATAAGCTATATAACTAAAGATATAATAATAGTTAAAAATTATAAAATTTATATAAAAACTAAGCTAATTAATAAAGTTAATAAAAAATCCTATATAAAATATAAATATTTAAATAAAATATCTATAGATATTTAGGGACCTATAAAAACCCCTACTTATAATAAATATAGGTATTTTATAATCTTTTTAGACTATTATAGTAAATATCTAAAAGCTTACCTTATTAAAAATAAAATAAAAGCTTAAAGTAAATTTAAAGAATATAAGGCTTATATAGAAAATAATTCTAATAAGATAACTATAAAATTAGTATTTACTAATAATACTTTAGAATTTATATATAATTTTAAATAATATTTTAAATAATATAGTATAAAATTTAATAATTCCTTACCCTATACTAAAGAACCTAATAGTACTATAGAAAGTGTAAATAGGACTTTATTAAATAAAATAAGACCTATATTATTTATAGCTAATATATCTACCTTTTTATAGGGGGAAGCTTTAAAAACTACTATTTATTTATATATTATAATACTATATAGTTCTCTAAAGAATAATATAAGTCCTATAGAATTAAAAGAAAATAGAATTTTAACTAAATATAATTTATTAGTTATAAAGACTTTTAGAAGTATAGTCTATTATAAGAATAAGACTCCTAGTTCTAAACTAGAGACTAGAGCCTTTAAAGTTATAGTTATAAAATATCTTTTAAATTCTTATAAAATATAGGATATTTCTAAGAAAAAAGTTATAATTTCTAGAGATATTATTATATTAGAAAATAATTTTATAAATAATAATAATAATAATAATATCTTTTTTAATTTATTAGAAGAAAATAACTATAATTATAGGAAGTCTTTAGCTAACTAAATCTCTTTAGATAAATAGTATTATAAATAATAATAATACTAATAATAATAATAGTATTATTAATAGTAATAATAATAATATAGAAGATAATTCTATAAATAACTCTTTAATAGAGAATAATAACTCTATTAAGGAGGATATTAAAGGTATACCTAAAACCAATATATCTATAAATATACCTAGAAAAATAGATAAAGAAGAAGAATATAAAGAAGTCTTTAATATAATAATAATAAATAATTATAATAATTATATTCTTAATATTATAATTAAGCCTTTAGAGCCTTCTAGTTATAATAAAGCTATAAATTCTAAGGAAAATTTAGAATAGCTAGAGTCTATAAAACTAGAAGTAGATAAATTATATTTTTATAATACTTAGACTATATCTTATAAACCTAAGGATAATCGATAAATTCTAAAAGGTTACTAGGTATATAAAATAAAAGAAAATAATTTAGATTATAAATATAAATATAAATCTAGATAGGTTATATAAGGTTATAAAATATAATTAAAATTATTATTTAGTCTTTATTAAAAACTAATAATTATAAAGAAAATATATTTATTTATTTATTAAGTTTTATTATATAATATAAGCTAATAATAATAAAAATTAAAAATAACCTTTAAAAATACTATTATAATATCTTTTATAGAATATACTTTAAACCTATATAAATAAAATATAAAGTATTAAAGGTAAAAAAGGATAGTAAGTAAAAATAGGAGTTAAAAGCTTTTAAGAAAAAGAAGAAATAAAGGTATTATAAAAGCTAAAAGGCTATAATAGTAATTAAGCTTAATTAGCCTAAAGATTTATAAGGCTAGATATAATTCCTTTTAATATAAATAAAAATAAAAAAAAGGGAAAGGAATTAAAAGGTTAAAAGGTTAAAAGGATAATAAGCTTAGTTAGTTTAAAAATATATAAAATTAAATATAACCCCTTTAATATAGATAAAAACCTAAAGAAAGGGAAGGTAGTTAATAAACTTAACTAACTAAAGTAATATAGGCTAAATATAGGTTAGAATATAGATAAAAACCTAATATATAATATTAAGAAGGGTTTTATTAGACCTTTATATACTTTAAAATAAGATTATAAAGAATCCTATAAAATATAGATAAGGTTTTCCTTTAAGTACTTTAGTTTTTCTTTATTCTATAATTAGTAAAGGTATTAAATAGGTTATTTAGCCTAATTAATATATAAAAATTATTATTATTAATATTAATTTTTATTTTTTTTATTTTTTTAAATAAGTTAATAAAAAATACTTAAATATTTTTAAAATATTTAAAATATTTAAAAAAAAAATTATAGTTATAACTTAAACTACTATATAGAATCGCCCTTTAGCTCGGACTTTTCTCGGCTTAAGATAAGAAGGGGGGGTAAACAAGGCTACTAAGCAGGCTAGAGATTCTATACTTCCATAGCCAAAATTTGCGTGTGGTTGTTGTGCTACCAGCTCCACAGCCCTAGTAAAAATAAAGAAATAAAGCGAAATCCCATGTGTGGGATGTTAGGGTTGGCATATAATGCAACCCCCGTAACATTTTGTGATTCTTGTAAGATTTGTCCACAGCCGTTCCCTGCAGCTGCTTAAGTAAATCAGCATGTTCATAACAAAGATAGATTTCAAACCAGGGAGACTATTCAGCAGCCGTGTCTCTTTGCCGATTCTGAGAAGCTAGTCTTTGGTACGAGAGCCCTCGCGGCGTGCGATGCGGCTGCAAGGATGCTTGCAAGCATGTGTACATAGGCTGCGAAAGACATATGGCATATAAGACCCCCTGGCGCTGCCTCGTATCCCTCACTCCCCAAGTTCGCTCACGCGCTTGATTCAACAGGACAAAAGTGTTTTATATTGCTTCCGAAGACAGCCTTGGATAATTTCGGAATACTCAGTCCCAGTCTTCACTATTCCGATTTCATTTATTTGAAATGTCTTTTGTGGGCACTCAGGATTCCCTCCTGCCTCAGTCTCGGCTCGAAAGCTTGCCTGTGGAACTACTTCTTAAAATCTGCGACCAGCTTGCCCAGCATGAGCCAAGAACGAAACGCAGCCTCGGAAAATTTGCATTGGCTAGCAAGAGATGTTGCAACGCTGCAGATGCTCAACGGTTTCGTCAATTAAACCTAACAATCCGAGGGCCGCACAAAATGCGGCGCGATATCCAGAGCTGGCGACAGTCGGTGCAGAGAGATGAGCGCCTGGCACTTGTTCGAGTGGTTAAATTAACAGGATACACGATATCCCAGGAGAGTGAAGATAAAGAGTCTCACGGGGGAGACATGCCGAAAGAACTTCGCCAGAATGCACAGTGGATAAGACACCCGATCCTCATGGAAAACGACGGAGATCAGGAAGAAGAGCCAAGACTGCTCACTGGTATGGACCGCAAAGGACCATTGGGGGGGGAACCATTGCTGTCAATTGAGTGGCTGGATGAGAAACCGTGGCAGCCCCTTATCGAATTCTGCAAAGAGCTTCCTGGGCTCGAGGACCTGGTCTTCGCGAGCGCCAGCCCATTTCCGCGCTGCCTCTTATCGCACCTTCACAGTGATCATCCGGAATGCCGCCTGCATATACACAAGTTTGGTCTCCGCAGCCTTATTCACTCGGAACTCCATACGCAGCCCATACATCCCGACGACATTGCGCTGGCAACATCTCCTTGCCTCTACAGCATCGTGAGCGCCACTGCCCAATACAGAAACCGTCAAACTGTGGACTACAACAAAGAAGCTATCATGGAAATGGTGAATGGCCTTGCGCCGCGGCTCAAAAATGTCTATTTGCTACCAATTATTATCCAAGCGACACCGGGGCCCATGATGACGGTTCCACGTCCGCCGTTTCAGGGGTTTCCACGATCTGAACGTGGTGGTCTGCTAGGAAATCGACCGCGAGGACGTCTCCATAATTTAACACTGCATGAGTTCGAGATCGGGGTTGAGAAGCTTACCGAATGGACTGCTTGCACGGATGATTTTAAGCAGCTACGGTCGCTTGCGCTTAAATGCAGCGTCGACTTAGCAGCAGTAAAGCATCTGACACAGATAGCCCTTAAAAACTCGTTCACGGCGCTTTTATCCTTGGAGATCAATGTTGGGGCTTTTTATAGGGTCGGCGAAAGAGAAGCGGACGCGGATCCCCTAGCCGCTAAGCTGCTTACTGCCCTTCATCCCTTGCAGGAGCTACTTATTCGAGGAGCCGTTCGGGATAAATCATTTTACGCGATCACGATACATCATGCAGATACACTACAAAAGTTATGTTTTGGTGGTGGACGGCTCGATGGAAAGCCCCCTGTTACTATTTCCATGGCAGCTGCTGGTAAACTCGCGCAGAGGTGTCTTCAGATTGTGGAACTGGAGCTACATATAGCCAGGACTCCTGGCGACGAACGGGAAACAGCAATATATCGTTCCATCGGTACTTTACCGCATCTCAGAAGACTAACTCTTCACCTTCTCTGCAACAGCAAACCTGCGCTCCGATTCTCAGATGCCAGGGACCTCACCGACGCAATGATAGCTTCCTCCATCCAGGGTATCTATAGACAGGCAGCGGTAGACTCAGCCCTGGCTCATACCATGTTTGGACTGCTCAGTGCTGGGAGCCGGCTAAGCCTGCTGGAGCTCCGCCCCTGTGGCTTTAGCGTATCGTCCCCTCTCGGCCGGTGGCTACGCTGGCTCGGCAGAGAATGGTCGGTCCATAGGGATGCAGGCAACATAACACTGAGAGAGCGGGGCGTGATGATCCGACAGCAGGCCCTGAGGCAAATTCAGAGGCAAGCATCGTCCTCTGGAGATTCAAAAATACACAAGGAGGCATGGGACGCGACCTGGCCGCCGTCTTCTGAGAAATGGTGGGATGACTGGGCGAGCGTGCCGCTCAAGATGGCTGAAAAGCGTAAATTTGAATCACAGTGATGCTGCGCTTTGCGGGTGGAAAGGGAGCCGGAATAATTTCGAGAGTGAACAAATAAAGCACTGAAAAATTACCAACGTCCGCACAAAAGTTGCAGCAGCGAAAAAGCAAAACACATTAAAAAGACGCGTATGCCCTGTATTTAGATTACCACCCACGCGCAGATGGCAGTTTAGCGCAGAAAAGATGTCATTCCGTGTCTATTCAGTTGCGATTTAAGTTCAGGGAATGGAATCGTCTTCCAAATCCGCACAGCACCTCCGCAAAAGCGTTGGTAACCGTTGTCCAATAAAGCGCAACATAAGATACGGTTATCTCGTGAATTATATAAATAGTATAATTAAAACTTTATATACTAGGTACTTTTATTGCCTTGGAAAGCTATTTTCGGATCTACGTTTTACCGCACTCCGAGTTTGTTGTATCTTACGTTGCGCCTCCTGTAATTCAACAGAATATCACCCCTACAACATACTGCCCTCTTCGCTCAACATTGGTAACCTTTAATGCCTATAAGATGCCAACCACAAATAAGCCTACACCAAGTTCTGGACCGTGCCGATTGCTCCTGAAAACGGAGACACAGCTAGTTCAAGGAGCTGAATATGGAGACAAAATCGCCTTCCTTTAGGATACCCTAACTGTCCGCCATTTTGGGCGCAAGTTTGACAGGATGCAGGAATGTTGGCGAGTTCTTGGAGACCATTTCAGTCTTCCTAATCACTTTTGCTACATGCTCGTCGACCACGGCGATAGAGAAACAACTATAACAGATATACCCCTTATTCAGTATTAGCTAACAAGTAAGAGAGGCCTATAAGTCTCTATTCCTTTACGACTAAAACTTGAAATACTAAGACAGTTAAACTCTATGCTTGGCTTATAATACTGACATTCATGTATGTATTAGTATATGCATACAAGAGCCCGCATCGAAAGAAGTCCTATAAAAGCTAAATAAGCTCCCATTTAATCGACCACGACGCAAACCGATGCCAGCAGACTGGTCCCCATTATCCAAACAGATACGAGCAGCGATCAAGGCACAAATAAAAAGAGAGATAACGGTTACAATCGACTTTATTGGGTTTCTGCAAAAAAATCCGGACGAATTCGAGAAATTAAAAAATAGCTTTATAGAAATCGAAAAGGCACAGCTTGCTGAAGCTCTAGCAGATTTAGAATTGGGAAGTAGCATCCAACACTACAGCTGCCTAGTGGATAGATATCTTGAATATGCGTATTGTACTACATACTGCATAACAGGCTTGACCGAGTGACTATTTTCTTGCCCGCAACCTCCGCTATTGTGTACAGGTATGTTGCGGGAAGTCCTGCCGCTAACTAGCGGTTCTATAAACAGCTGCATACCTCGTACACTGGAACATGTTCAATGGTCACTCCGTTGCCATCGCAGGTTGAACAAGTACAATAACGCGTCCCAGTTTCTCGCTCGAATTCGTCACACTCATACTCAGGACTTGCGCCAGTGCAGTTCTTCCCTCCACCTCCGCATGTCGTGCAAACACGCTTCGCATCGTAACGTAAAAGGAGCTTTCCCTCTCCGCCGCAGCCGTCGCAGTCGGGATCGGCAACTGGCTCGACACTGTCCCGAGATCCTGCTCTTGAGCCGCTGAACTGACGAGACATGATAACTGGGGCAGTTGTCTAACGGGAAAGTTGATTATGTACAAGAAATTTAACCTGGTATTATCTACACAATACAAAGGGTCCCTGTACTGACCCGCGTTTACAAAGTATCTTTCTTACCAGGGTGCCTACTTGGCACCTAGGGTACAAACAAGGAAGATGGTTACTTTTTCAGCCCCCTACATGGTATTCTATCGCGAGTCTCCCGACTCGAAACAAATCTGGCGACTTGGCGCTGGCAGAGCACTAGCTAACCTGTCACAATGCCACCTGGGGAAATTCACAAGCCTACTAACCTAGTAGCCGCTACACTACACAGAAGACCACCTACCTACCTACCTACATACGCGAGTAAGGCCTGTTTTTAGACAGGGTACTAGACACGTCGCTTTTTTAATTTCCCCTATCACAACGCTATTAACGTCTCTAACACAGCTTATAAAAAACATGGAGGTTTTTGTACACGTAGTAGCAGCCTAACAGCGTTATAATAGGGGAAAATTACATTAAATTCGGTACTCCATCCCAAGGAAAAAGTCGCTAATAGAGTTCAAGTCTGTGAAGGAAAGCCTTGTCTAGGCTAGTGAGGAGTGGCAACCGCAAACTCCTGGCCAACCACCAAAGAAAGTACCGGAAAACGCACGGTGTGGCGAGCATGGTAGCCTGGCTGCTTTTTTAAGTAAATGGAAGAATTAGAAGCCGTGCCCATTACTGGTCCGTCTTCTCCGTGGACCCATTAGGCGGCCCAAGACTTTCCGCTGCGGCTCCGTTTGGGGCTGGCGCGTCCGTATTCGCCATGGGACCAGCGGCTGGCGCTGGCTTTCCTCCTAGAAGTCCCGGAGGTCCGTTCTGGTCTTGCGCCTTTCTCACGCTTTTCCACTCGACTGCCAATGCCGCTGCAAATGCCGCTGCCGCTGTTGCGGCGCCAATAACAAGAGTTTTGGTAACGGCGTTGTTGTATGCGTCAAGTAGTGCTGGCAGCTCCTCTAGGCTTGCATGCTTGCGCAGATCCGTCGAGCCAGAGTTGAGAATGTCGCTAGAGTTGGTGAGTCCTCGCAGACCAGTCTTCAAAAGGTGACCAAAAACGGACTGGCAGGCGGACAGGAACACAGATCCTCCAAGCGACTGAGAAAAGAAAATAAGGGAGATGCCGATGGGTGCATCCATCCTGGCCAGAACTGTCTGCGGCACCAAACCTCCGGCCGTCATGCCGAGCCCGGATCCAAATCCCCAGATGACCTGATAGCCGATCCACGTGCCGTCTGATGAATGTGGTGTGAGGGTGGTCAGAAGGCCAGCGCCGATTGCCATCAGGGCGGTGCATGCGAGCATGAAGGGCGCATAGTATCCGACAGCTTTGGAAACGGCAAAACCGGACACCAGGCCAGACACGCCAGACGGCACGACAAGAGCCAGCATCATGACGCCTGATCGCGTGGGCGAAGCAGCTTTAATGGCTTGAAACCAACTACCATTTCATTTGTTAGATCAAATGCAGACTGGAGAAATGAAATAAGAGCACGCTTACACCGGCAGGTAGTAGATGATGGACATCATAGACCCTGCAACAAAGGCGGTATACAGACAGGCTGCGGCCATGTTTCTTTCCAGTATGACTCGCAGTGGGACGGTTGCATTGTCCTTTTGCCACCATTGAACAAACATGAAGGCGACGAGCAGAAGAGCCGCCAAGACGAGGAGCGCAATAATGCGGCCATTGCTCCAGCTATACTCCGACCCACCCCATTGTAAGGCAAGAAGTAGGCAGACAATGCCCGGGACGAAGAAAAGATTGCCAATGGGGTCCATGCTCTTGATCTGGGCTTTCCACGGAGTTCCTGCCTTTTTTGCGGGCGGCAGCTTGAGCACGAGGAGCGTGACAACAATGGTCAACGCGCCGACGGGCAAGTTGAGGAAGAAGCACCACCTCCAGCTGCCGTGCTGCGTCAGAGCACCACCAATGAGCGGACCAACAATGGACGCCACAGCAAAGATAAAGGAGACGACACCTGAGTAGATGGGCCGCATCTTGAGCGGGACGGTGAAGAAGGTAATGATAACGCTGCCGCCAAAGATACCCGAGGAACCCAGGCCCGCGACGGCCCTGCCGACGATGAGCGTGACGGAGCTCTGCGCAGCGCCGCAGATAGCCGAACCGACAAGGAAGATGCCGACGGCGCTCAGAAAGACCCATTTGGCGTTGTAGTATGCGTAAATCTTGCCATAGACGAGCTGGAAAGCGCAAAAGGTGATGAGGTAGGAGCTGCCGTACCAGCTGATGTCGCCGACGCTGTTGAACTCGTTGGTGATGGTGGGGATTGCGTTGACGACAATTGTACGGTCCAGTGCCGTTAGGAAGCTGGCGAGGTAGAGCGAGATGATGTTGGCGTAGAGCGGGAAGCCGGTGGGATACTGGACGACAGGGAAGCCTCCAAAGCCGCCGCCGCCTGCGGGCGGTCCCTCGGGGGTAGCGGGCTTCGCCTTCTCGATGTCTGTGTTTTCTTCTTTGCCCATAGTGACTGCTGCTGGCTGGTGCCGGGCATTGAGGTTCCAAGACGGTGCAGCTGGCGTTTCGAGTCCCTTTCCTTCTTGGGGAGTGTCGTCACGCGTTGTCGCCATGGCGCGCTGGATGAGCTGAAGATCGGGTGCACGTATAGACGAGGAGATGTTGGTGGGAAGCGAGCGAGAGAAACGTCTTCTGTCCTCCCCGGGCAGCGAGAGCTTTCATGGCTTGGGGCGAGTGGGCTAAAACGTTGCAATGCCCGCACCCCTCTTCGCCGTTAGATGAATTATGGGTTCTCACGGGCCGATCTAGCCGTTTCCTTTTCCGAAGCACCAATCACGAGCATCGCAGCTTGACTACGGCTAGTTAGCGGGCAACCCCAGCAGATTCTGTACCCACAGTGTCTTATCTTCGGACAGGTTAGCTTCGGCGGGCTCCGAACCATGGCACGTCTTAGCGCAAGATTCCAGAGTGCAATTATCCGGAATAGGAAATATGTGCGCTAACTTGATTGAGACCTTGTGTCTTTTAATATAGCCTGGTAAATCCACGAGTGCATACACAGTAGGTGGCAAGAATCATATTGCTGCAGCCTCTCTCGCTCCGACAGTGCGCCTGTCCAGATGCTTTCGTTCGCCCGCACCAACCTTTACTTCATCAAAATTCAAGATCGCCACGTTAAATCTGTCCCCATTCATCATTCCTTCAACGGCTCCCTCATCGGCTCCAGTCCAAAATGCCAGCAACCACCAACAGGACATCCTCCACCACTAACACACTTAGCCCAGCCCATCTGTTCCACGTCGGCGATACTATCGCCGTCGTCACCGGCGGTGGTACCGGTCTCGGCCTCATGATGGCCAAGGCCCTCGCATCCGGCGGTGCCAAGGTCTACATTCTCGGCCGTCGCTTAGATGTGCTGCAAAGGGCCGCCCAAGACGCCATGGCAGAAATCAACGGCGATAACACGACCAGCAGTAGCCGTGGCAGCATCGTACCTCTACAATGCAGCGTCACCTCCAAGGAAGAACTCCAGCGAGCCGTTGACCACATCTCCGCACAGGATTCCAAGATCCACCTCCTCATCAATAACGCCGGCATCGCGACTCCTAACCTCGAGCCACACCCGCAACGTCCCAATCCTAAGTGGGACGTCAAGCGGATGCGAGATTTTTGGTTCAACAAGTCGTTCGAGGACTACGCGGCGCTTTTTGAGACAAACACGACGGCGGCCCTACAAACTTCGTTTGCGTTTCTCGAGCTGCTCGACAAGGGTAACCAGGCACGCCAGGCAGAGATGGGGGAGGCGCGTGGACCCTCGTACAACGGGCCACACGACTTTGTGAGAAGCCAGATCATTGCTATAAGCAGCGTCGGTGGTTTTGGGCGCGACAATTCGGCGTTTTGCTACGGAGCTAGCAAGGCGGGCATGACACACATGATGAAGAATCTGTCGACGTATCTGATCCCGTGGAAGATTCGGGTCAACGTCGTCGCTCCAGGGTGTAGGTTCATACCCTCGCTTTGCACAGACGGCCCAAAAAAAAAAGAAAAGAAATGTCGCTAACGTGGGTCTCAGATTTCAACACCGAGATGATGGGTAGCTTTTACAAATCTACAAGAGGCAAGTTGCCCCCGTCGATTGCGCCCGAGGAACGGTTCGGTGAGATGCAGGATATCGGGGGCACGATTGTTTGGCTTGCGAGCCGTGCGGGGTCGTACTGCAACGGCAATGTACTCTTGATTGATGGCGGCTACTGCGCGGCCCATATAGCCACTTATTAGTTGCACTTTCGTTACAGTGCGTTACAGGATGAATGGAGGAACAAGTGCATACATTGATCCTGAGTTCTTATTTTTGTGAGCGAGAGTCGAAATTCGATAACTTGATAACGTCCTCTTTAGGCTCTATGGATGGATTTCACAGTATAACTACACTTTTTTTTCAAGAAAGAAGCCCCTTTTGCCGCTCTAATTAGCTCTTTATAGTTTAACCTATTTCTTCCCCTAGTCAAAAAGGCTTCTTTAACTAGCAGGGTGTTACTTTATTGCTAGGTGTGTAGCATTAGACCGAAATTTGACTTAATTTACAGAGTACGGAAGAGCAAACTCAGCATCACGGCGTTAATAACTGACAGGGATCGTTGGGACCCGGGCCGAGCCACTACCTACCAGTCGGGACCGAGCACCGCTCTCGGGACCGAGCCCACCTACTGACCCCGCATCTGGAACACACAGCCGCAGGATACGTAAGAGACGTAACAGACAGAGACAGGACATTTACGTACGATATCAACGCAAAAAGTGAAGTGAAAGGGGGGGGGGGCTCAGACTCACCCAAAAAAGGTACTGCGAGAAAAAAACTCAAACTCAAGACACGCCCTATTAGTGAAATTAATAATGGATCGTATAACTCGCAGATAGTGCATGGCCCGCAAAGAGAGAGAGAGGCCTTACCAACCCTCCAGGCTCCTTGCTCACCAAGCCTTCACCCCCAACACCAGACAAGCACATGAAACAAGGCGACAGTCCAGTCAAAAGCGACTCCTTTCATTTTCCTTTCTCGCGCAATTCTATGTTCGAGATACCTTTTATGATGCACAATCATCCTTCTCCCCTTCTCTACTCTTCCTTCACTGGGCTTCGCTGGACGGTGGAACAGTGCAGGTTGCCGGCCCTCAATGCTACCTCCCAAAATCCATACTAAAGCATTTAGAGAGACGAAAGACGAAAACCTGTGGTCCTGATTTATCCATTGATCAAAACTACCCCCGAAGTCTGAAAATTTTCTCATAGTTGTGGCGGTGTTGTGCGGAGGGTTTAAATTTATTGTATTTTGTATGCAATATACAACCGAAGGACTGGAGATATATAGCTTACTTAACTGATGGGTTAATGCCTATGATGAGGCAAATGGCTAATATTGACCAAGTGGTAAAGAGACATGGGAAGTGGAATGGAATGGAGTTTTTCATTTGTAGTACGTATGGCAAAAGTTCCGTCAACCCACATCTTGTAGGGCACCTGGAGCTGGTTGCCAAACCCTTGGCGGCGCCGTCGCTGCCATTCAAAACCAAAGTCCTATTCATCAAACAAACGCCCGTTTTAACTAAGAAAAAAAACATAAATGGAGGATATCCCCATTAAGTTGAACATGGGACGAACGGTGATATTTATACGCCGTTCTTGGCAAGAGAACGCGGGTTATACCGAGCCTCACGGGTCTGCGCCTAAGCAGGCCTTTGAAGTCAACACAACATATTTTGGCTAATCTCTTGAGCAATATGCATGATAAATTGTGATACATATAAAAGAGGTCGTCACTAGAAACAGAAGAAATTTAAATAAAACACAAACTACAATAAGTCTAGCACTGCGTCACGCCCCCTCCAACTATCCGATTGACAGCCTCACATTTCCTTCTCTCGGCAAAAGGCATCCGCCTTACTCCGCTACGTGGGCCCCCAATCGTCCTCAAAGTAATCTGTCTCGGCTCTTCCGTTTTCCACTGCTCCCCAAACGAAAAAGGCCACTCCTCATCGTCGCCGTCGCCTTCGTGTTCGCGCCCCTCTACCCCCGGCGATCCAGCCGACGCAAACGCCGCCCAAGTACTTGCCATCCAGCTCGCGAGCTGCAGGTCGCGCTCCTCGCTGATAAAGTACGAGGACTGCAGATTATTAAAAACGTACGGCACGTCAGAGAAGTGCGCGGCGCCCAGATACGCCCGTCCTTTGCTCTCCATGACTGGCGCAAAGGCCGACTGGTTCAGCTCGTAGAGATAGATATTGGGGGCGCCGGCGAGGGACATGCGTGCAGCCTGCGTGAGGAGCGGGCACGCGACGGTGGCGTCTCGGATGAGGCGGGAGAGGGCGCACCACGCGGTGCTAACGGCTTCGTGGCACTCGTCGCGGGTGGCATGGGGACCGTCGAGGTAGAGATACATGAGCTCGAGGGCGGAAGGGTACGTGAGGGTAGGATAGCGCTTCATCAGCCAGCCCGCCGCATCGAAGGTGGATTGAATTGCTGTGGGCGTCTCCATGGACCCTTCGTCCACATCCCAACCAAAGAGGAAGTCCACGTGTTTCACAAAGCGGCCTTCTTCGAATGCCTTGGCAGGCTGCTCCGGAACAATGGTTCCATCAACGACAGGGCCACTAAGGACGTTTATTGTTAGCCTTTAATGCGCGCCGAAACAAGACCTCCAAATTTTCTTCAACGTACAATGCGTGAAAGCCATTAACGGGATCAAACTCGTAGGCTACATCAAACGCCGTCTTGGTGACTTGGTCCATCGAAAACTGTCGCAAGCAATTAACGGTGTACCAGTACTGAGGGCTGGCAGCGATGCACCCGAGCTTGGCAGCCACGGCGGTGAAGCTATCACTCGACGTCTTTGCATTCCCAGGCCAGGCTGACATGGCCGATCCGCTCTGCGCAACCACGCGTCGAAACGGCACCTTTTCTGTAGCGTTATTGCCGGTAAGGAGATGCAGTCCGATATCTGACGCGCCTGTATCCTCGCCAAAGACCGTGACATTGTCCGGGTCGCCGCCAAAGTCGGAGATGTTGTCCTGCACCCATTGCAGCGCGAGCGCCTGATCGCGCAGCCCGAGATTGGTGAGCCCGTCCTCGAGTAGGCTGTCAGAGACAGGAAAACCGTAGATGTTAAGGCGGTAGTTCATGGCGACGTAGAGGATGGGGTTGCCGCTGTCGATGGACGCGCGGACGAGCCCGACAGGGTCGTAGGCGCTGTCATACACGGTCCCGACTAGGTGGCCGCCGCCGTGAATCCAGATCATAACGGGGAGCAGCTTCTTCTCTGCGGTGGAATTGTCGGTTTCCGCGGCTGGCCTGGAGATGCGCAGCGTCAGGCAGTCTTCGGAGATTTTCTTGATGCGCGTCCACGGGTCCTGCTTCATAGGCTGCTCGGGCTGGGGACAGGCCGCGCCGGGCTCGGTCGCGTCGACGATGGTGTCGGCCGCCGGTGAAAAGGGAATGGGATGACGGAAGCGCTGTTCGCCGCCGGTGTCCTGACCGTAAGGTATGGACATGAATTGTTCGATCTTGCCATCTTCGGTTGCGGTGCCGATGTATGTGATGGGGACTCGTTCGTTGG